CCCCCTTCCCCTCCCCCTTTTCTGATGAAGGGTCTAGGCCCGAAACGTCAGCCTCTCTGCTCCTATGATGCTGCTTGGCCTGCTGTGTTCATGCAGCCCTGCACCTTGTTATCTCTTGTAGCAATAGCTGTTATTTTTAATAAAAGATACGCTACTATTTTTCAGAACCAGCAAATCAGTGAAAACATCCTGCAAAAATAAGCCACGGCAATAGTTTTCATGGAGAAAGGCATCATTTCTAAAACTTAACGTGCTTAGAATTTCCTGTAGTTCTTAACACTTAAAACCTAGCAACAACATATTTGCTTTTGCTCTTACATAAATATTAAGATGTTAGATGTAAGTAAAACTTCAGTGTGCTAATAAATCTTATTATCTTTCTGATGCTTCTAATCAATGTCCTGCATCAAATCCCTTAAAAGTATCTTTGAGTTATCAAGTGGGATGAATTGATTTAAGAGCCTTTTGTAGAAACGTGGGAAATGTGCCTCAAATTGTAAAATGACATTTACTTAATTAATTAATTCCATGAATTACTAATATGACACTGCTTTCAAGTGATTTAGGGATTGGTACAAGCAGTGGAATGCATGATTATCCACTCAGGTGAAATTGATCAAACTACGCACACCAGAAGCAAGATCTATTATAAATAATAATTTCCTGTTCTCTTTTATTGACTCTTTTTTGCCAATGCCAGTTGCTTTCAACATTTGATCATGAAACTATTAACATTGGTTTAGTGCAATTGTATTTATCTTTATAATTTAATTTTCCATTTGTCCAGACACATTCCGTCACACACTGCATTAATTTCTCCTCATTCTTCGCCATTCCTGTTAGTCTTGCATTGGAGGAAAGATATACTAGCACTGGAGGCTTCAAAGGAGGTTCTCTAGGCTGATACTAGGTATGGATGAACTGTCTTATGCGGATGGGTTGAATAGATTGGGCTTGTACTTGTTGGAATACAGAAGAGTGAGAGTCGACCTGATTAAAACATACAAGATTCTTAAGGGGCTTGAAAAGTTGTTTCTCCTTATGGGTAAACCTAGGACCAGAGGGCATAATCTCAGAATAAGGGATCACACATTTAGGACAAAGATGAGAAGCAATTGCTTCTCTCAGAGGGTGTGAATCTGTGGAATTCTTTACCACAGAGGGCTATTGAGGCAGGGTCATTAAATATATTCAAGGCTGAGATAGGCAGATTTTTAATCAGTAAGAGAATCAGGGATATAGGGAAAAGGCAGAAAAGTGGAATTGAGGATTCTCAATGATCTCATTGAATGGCAGAGCAGACTTAATAGGTTGAATGGCTTACTTCTGCTTCTTTGTCCTGTAGTCCAGTGCAATGGCCTTGGTCACAGAATTCTCCATTACTGACAACATGACTACATCATCATTAGACTGATGCATGAAATCTTGGATATTTCCAGGTTTTCTTCAATGTGAACTTCTCATTTTTACATTCAGTAATCCAGACAAATGGCAAAATGCACCTGACTAAGCTTTAAATCTTTAAAAAATATTCTTAAATTTATGTACTGTGTGTACCTGTATTCACATATTTAATGTAGGTTCAAGAGTTGGCCATTCAGCTACTTTATCCTGTTCTATTCAATTTGATTATTGCTTATGTGAACCCCAAATTCTATCAGCCTACCAATCCCTTGATACCATTGCCCATTGAAAATCCAACAATCTCTGTCTTGATTATTATTATTATCAATCTTAAATAATTCAGCATCACAGTTTTTGTGGAAGTGTATTCTAGATTTCTACAATCCAAAAATGCTTCCTCCTTTCATATATGAATGGCTTAGCACTAATTTTACAAATGTGTCCCTGTTGTTCTGGATTCTACCATGGGAAAAATAGAGGGTTGTATCCCAACATAGCTTTAAAACTTCTAGAATTCCAGTTCCCATTCCTAGCACTGGCATCTTTTGTCAGCATGGGAAATGGATGGGGCATGACAGTCATAACTGGCTGTCGTCACATTACAGGCTCCATTGTGGAAGCGGATTGTTCAGGCCTGCTGCAATTTCAAGGGGTTAGGCTAGTTTTGGAAGGCAATGTTAACACCAGCTCAGAAGTCTCATGACCCATACAGGAACCGTAGTTCTGTGTCAGGAACAATCTGAACAATAAATTCAAGAAGTTTTGCCAACTTCTAATGCTGTAATAAAATGCTTTACTGCACATTACGTATCTGTTTAATACTGTCACCGATGATAAGATTTTGGTTTGAAAAGTTCAATGACCATTAAATTTAAGAGTACTGTGAAACTGAAAAATTCTCAAATGTATTAGTGTGCATTATCCATTGGATGAAATGTTATTCTGCATTGTAGAAATGCAGTTGATTGTTGGAATTGTCTATTTTCTTTCAGTTTTTTTCTTGATATTTGACTCAGTCATTCATTTCACCATTTCAACAGTTGGACATGTAGCTGAGCATATGCACCTTTTCACTACTGATCAGCTGTCTATTTGGCTGTTTCAAAACTTTGATAGATGGCTGAGTCTATGGCTGTCATCAAAGGCTTTCAAGTGTTCAGATTGTGGAGTTTTGCTAAAACAAAATCAGTTGAAGGGTATCTTACTATGAATGCTTGGCTAAATTACAAGCATGTTAAAGATTCAACTCAGCAGTTTGGTTACTTTGACAGAATTATTCACTGTTAAGAGGATTATGGTTTTATAAAGTAGATTTTCATGTACTTTTTCTATTTTTTGACAGATGTATGAGCTTCTCAAAGACTTCCCAATGTTGTTCTCGGGCTTGAGAGTTCTCTTTGTAAAGGAGTGGGTTGATTGGTTTAGGATGTATGGTGGGTGAGGGGGAAGAGTAGTGGAGAGGGTTAGGAGGCCACACACATCTCCAGAGGTGGGTCATTGTCTCAGCAAATGGAGGTAGGCTTTTTAACCTGGCCACTCCAGCATTACTGCTTCTGTGTGTGAATGTAACTTGCCCTGACTTCCCGTTATGTAAATAGCATGGGTGGTAATTGTCATATAAGAGGTGGAGTCATGACACTGGAAAATCCTCTAACTTCTGATTCCTGCCTCCAAGATGAAATTACAGCCCAGCATCTGTATATAAAAACTTTAGAATCTTACAATTAGATCACCCCTCAGGTATCTTATGTTGGTCTCCTTACTTGAGAAGAGATATACTAGCACTGGAGGGGGTGCAGAGGAGATTGACTGGGTTGATTCCAGAGTTGAGAGGGTTGGATTATGAGGAGAGGCTGAGTAGACTGGGATTATACTCATTGGAATTCAGAAGAATGAGGGGAGATCTTATAGAAATATATAAGATTATGAAGGGAATAGATAAGGTGGAGGCAGGGAGGTTGTCTCTGCTAGCAGGTGAAACTAGGACTAGAGGGCAATGCCTCAAAATAAAGGGAAGCAGACGTAGGACTGAGGTCAGGAGGAACTTGAAACTTCACCCAAAGGGTTGTGAATCTGTGGAATTCCCTGCCCAGTGAAGCGGTTGAAGCTACCTCACTGAATGTTTTTAAGGCAAGGCTAAATAAATTTTTGAACGGTAAAGGAATTAAGGGTTATGGTGATTGGGCGGATAAGTGGGGCTGAGTCTCAAAAAGATCAGCCATGATCTTATTAAATGGCGGGGCAGGCTCGAGGGGCCAGATGGCCTACTCCTGCTGCTAGTTCTTATGTTCTTATCTCACTTCAAGGGTAGACAGCCATGTTGTAACAACCTGCCCACATAAATTAACCCTATGAACCCTAATAATATTGTGGTTAGTCTGTGCTGTACCTTTTCTAAGGCTAGCATATCCTTCCTGAGGTTTTGTGCTTAAACTTGGTACTCTAGATGCTCTATAACGTGAAGCATAATTTCAGAAGCCCCAAGGAAATTCTTGGCAATGGATTCACAGTTATGATTTTGTCAAATGTGAGTTAGAGTCATAGAGATCTGCATCACAAAAATGCCCTTTGATCTATTGAATTTGCGTCAATCAAAACCAAACACGTAACTATTCTATTTCCATTTTCCAGCACTTGCCCCAGAGCCTTATATGCCTTGGCATCACAAGTATATATTGTGACCTGAGATGGCACTGGAAGTGCTGACTTGTAAACTTTTCATTGTACTCCTGTGAGTACATGTGACAATAAAGCTAATTCTAATTCTATTCTAATTATAAATACTTTTAAATGTTATAGGGATTTCTGCCTTTACCACCCATACTGGAAGTGAGTTCCATTATCCCACCACCCTCTAGATGAAAAGGTTTTTCCTCAGATCTCCTCCTCAGATCTGCCCCTTAGCTTAAATTTATGCCCCCAGTCAGTGATCCCTCCATTAAGGGGAAAGGTTTCTTCCTGTCGACCCTAACTATGCCCCTTACAATTTTATGCATCTCCATCATGTCTCCTCTCAATCTTCTCTGCTGTAAGGAAAACAATCCTGGTCTGACCAATCTTTCTTCATAACTGAAACTTTCCAGCCCAGGCAACATCCTGGTAAATCTCTTTTGCACCCTCTCCAGTGCTATCACATCCCTCCTATAATGCGGATTCCAAAACTGTACGCAATACTCTAACCTAACTATTGTTTTATACAGTTCCCGCATAATCTTCCTGCTCTTAAACTGAAAGCCTCAGCTAATAAAGGCAATTATACCATATGTCTTCTGAATGGCTTTATCCACATGTGCTCATACTTTGAGGGATTGGTGGACATGCACACCGAGATCCCGCTGATCCTTAGTGCTTCCCAGCGTCCTACCATTCATCATGTATTCTCTTGCCTTGTTTGTCCTGCCCAAGTGCATCACCCTCACATTTATTCAGATTGAATTCCATTTGCCACTGATCAACCCATCAGACCAGCCCGTCTATATCCTCCTGCAATCTAAAGCTTTCCTCCTCACTTTGTCCTCCAGTCTTTTATTCCTGTGAAGGGATCAAGTGGATGTTGAGTTTTTCTCCAGAAACAGGAAAGGAAATATCGCCTCTAAACTCTTTTCTACTTGGATCTGGCCTAAGAATGGCCAGCTTGACAGAAATCTTTGAACAGGTTGTAATCCTGTTAAAGTGTGCTGCATTGAGAAAATGTGTAAGGTTGCATTAAAAATTTTCAGTATGCTTGAATAGTTTACACTGTTAAGATATACACTGTTCAGCATTTCAATCTCTTTGTGTAATCACATTCCACAGAAAGCTTGCTTTGAAACACCATCCAGACAAAAACCTTGATAATCCAGATGCATCTGATAAATTCAAAGAGATCAATAATGCTCATTCAATACTGTCAGATATAACCAAACGAAACATTTATGATAAATATGGTTCACTGGGACTGTATGTCGCTGAACAATTTGGTGAAGAGAATGTGAACACGTACTTCATGCTGTCTAGCTGGTGGGCAAAGGTAAATTTGATTTTTGTTTTATTCATTTTCATGTGCAGTAATGTTTTGTGCTGCTGTAAGTTGCAGTTTGAAAAGATGAGAATTCAGAAAGTTGGAAACTGAAATTTTCATAATAAAAGTGTATGCAATGTGTTAGAAAGATTCATTATTTCTGCGTATGGGTTGAAAAGGTGTCTTGCCTATTCTGAATGTATCGCTTGGCTCAATCCTTTTCTATGTAAAGCAACACTGTTTTATGTTAAAGATTTAAAAGACTCAAGGTGATTTTCTAATGGCACATATCACATCATCTCTCCTACTCTTGCCACACTTTTGGCAGAAAACCGATGGAACCGCTGGAGAAAGTGGGTAAGGGGGGCAGTTTCCATTATGAACGGGTACTGGGTGGGTGGTGGGCTAATTGATCAAGTAGCAGAGGCCTCAGTCTGTTTTGCATCTGATTTGCAAACAGCAAATTCAAGTGAACACTTCAAGTTGTCTCACAATCTGAGCATGGCAGGTGCTGGAATTTCATCAGATTCCTTGCAAATCTGAGTCAGACATTGTCTCACTTCCCAAACGCTATATATGGAAGATAGGTGGGAAGATGTTTTTGGGGCCAAGAAGATTATTCATGCTGATCCTGACAAAATGCCTGCCTTAAACCAGTGTGATCTGAATTCCCATTCCCATGAGCAATTGGTGGTGACCCTCAGTAAATTTTGTAAAGGGAGTGAGGCTTTAGGTTTGTTTAACATCTCGATAAGTTGGGGAGTAATGACATGTAATAAGCGTAGGTCTTCTGCTACTATGCAGGAAATTTGACTGGCCATTAAGTTCTTAAGAACTGAGTGACACGTGCCATCAAATTTCTAAGATCTAATCTTTATACTTGCATTAGCCAGTGCTCACTAAGGGATTTTATTTTCCTTCCTACAAAAAAAGTGTATGTTTTGAAAAGGGTTTGGGGAATGCAAATTTGTTACTGACAATGAGAAATGATCTTTAATGCAGACCTCTGCAATCTATCTAATGTAACATCTCAAAACCCTTTCCTCTTGATGTACCAGTTCTGCACGCATTTCCTCAAAACTTAGAATTTTGAATCCCTCCGATCCGATTTTATTGTATATCGCAGCAGCACGAAGACTGCTTCGGCCAAAGTCACAACCTACACCCTTTGTGACTGTGGCCTTGAGTCATTATCTTCCTTGATCTCGCACAGCATATAATTTGTTTACTGGTAGATTCTCCAACTACTGCCAACTCTCTCTGCTTGCACAATTCTGCTGAATTGATCTTGTACGTTTCGATCCCTACTCATCCAAAGCATTCAGCACATCATCTCTAATAGTTATTCTTGCTTTCCTTCACCTCTGGGCACCACCTTTAGGTCCCATAAATGTCCTCATCTATATGCTGCCTTTCCATACCATTATCCACAAGTGTATATTTGACTTTCATGTATATGCTGTTAACATTCAGCCTAATTTTCCATACATCTTTCGACGCTATGGCCTCCTTATTGCTTTCTGTCTGATATCTACCTGAGATCAAGTCATGGATGATTCATAATTTCCTTCGGCTATTCATTAGAAGAACTGAAGGCACCATTCTCCATGCTCATTACAAAACTTTACTACAGTCTGCAAGATCGAGACTAATCTGAGGGATCTGAACGGTAACTGATAGCAGTTTTATCATTTTTATCATAGAAAACAGCTGATCTGGGAATTTTCACATTTGTGAATAACGTAATAATATATTAGCATTTTCTACATTTTTCTGAGCTGATTGTATGCAAATCCTGTCCACTTTTACAAAGGTCAAACTTTTTGATTTTGAAACCATTGAAGAGTTATTTCATTCTGTCAGAAGTGATTGAGGAGTATTGTACTAGTATGTCATTGTCCAATCTTAGCAAAGGGACCCAGAAATTAACCAATACAATGGTAGACACTGTTTTGACTGTAAAACTATTGTCATTAACACTTCTTAGTAAAAGACAGAAATGGATCCCCCTAAAGGTTTTTGATTGTCAGTATTGTAGTAAATTATTACATTATTTTCATTCTGTCTGTGTGCCCAGTGAACATAAGAACATAAGAGAACATAAGAACTAGGAGCAGGAGTAGGCCGTCTGGCTCTTCGAGCCTGCTCCGCCATTCAATAAGATCATGGCTGATCCTTTCGTGGACTCAGATCCACTTACCCGTGTTCTCACCGTATCCCTTAATTCCTTTATTGTTCAAAAAAAATCTACCTTTTTTTTAAAAACATTTACTGAAGTAGCGTCAACTACTTCACTGGGCAAGGAATTCCATAGATTAACAACCCTCTGGGTGAAGAAATTCCTTCTCACTTCAGTCCTAAATCTGCTCCCTCTAATCTTGAGGCTATGCCTTCTTGTCCTAGCTTGTCCCAGTGAGGTATATTTAGTGGCGTGCTGGCTTCTATTGAAAGGAACAGGATAGTTTGAGATTCTCAAGGAAAAGAGGGGACCAATTTTTCATGTAGGCAGCCCATCCTCCACCCTGGGTGAAGTTGAGCTACAGCCTTGAGCCTGAAAAACTAATGTAAAACAAAATATATCTTTTTAAAGAGATCTTGAATAACTTGTGAAGCAGTAAACTGGAGATTTGCACAGGAAGAACCATGTGCAGGTTGGGTCATCACAAAGCCTGTGTGTGTCCTTCCAGTTGCCAGGGTTCAGTCAATGGAAAGTCCAGCATTCAACATAACTCTCAAAATCAACAGCATAGAAGGACCATGCAAATTTTACCTTCACTTCTACTTCATTGTTTGTGTCTGTTTTCTCTACTTTACTCAGGGCCTGTTTGTGTTCTGTGGGCTGATCACTGGCTGCTACTTCTGCTGCTGCCTCTGCTGCTGCTGTAACTGCTGCTTTGGTAAATGCAAACCCAAGTCCCCAGAGGGCGAAGAATATGATTACTATGTCTCACCAGAGGACCTGGAGGAACAAATCCGCACAGACATGGAGAATGGTAAGTGCTAAATTCAAGGCTGAGCTTTCCACAAAGAAAAGGCCTTTGGGTTGTTCCTATGCCCACGATTGGTATGAAAATGTGTATAATACTGGCCTGGTGGTATTATGACTGGACTGTTAATCCAGAGACCCAGATAATGTTCTGGGGATGCGGGTTCGAATCCCGCCATCACAGATGGTGGAATTTGAATTCAGTAAATATCTGGAATTAAGAGTCTACTGATGATCATAAATCCATTGCTGATTGTCGGGAAAAATCCATCTGGTTCACTAATGTCCTTTAGGGAAGGAAACTGCTGTCCTTACCAGGTCTGGCCTACATGTGACTCCAGACCCACAGCAATGTGGTTGACTCTTACCTGCCCTCTGGACAAATAGGGATGGACAGTAAATGCTGCCTGGCCAGTGACGCCCACATCCCCTGAATGAATAAAGGAAAAAAATATTCGTCATCTTAATGCGTGGGGAAAGCAACTGGAGAAGTCATTGATTTCAATTGTAAAATACAGCACTCATCACACCCTGCCAATCAGACAAAGACCTATTTATGCATACTCTCTGTTTTCTGGCAGCCAGCCAATCTCCTATCTATGCTAACATGTTACCCTGTTCACCATGAGCTTTTATTTTCCCAATAACCTTTGATGTGGCAGCTCATCAACTGTTTTCTGGATCTAAGGAATTTTGGAAAATTAACACCAACGCATCTATTATCTCATGAGTAACCTCTTTTAACACCTAAGGATGAAGTCTGTCTGGACTTAGAGACTTGGTACTGCACAGTACCATCAGATTGCTTTTTACCTGTTCCTTTGCAGTTATAATTTTGTTAAGCACCTCTATCCTTTACACCTCCCAATTTACTACTATTACTGGAATGTTTTTTGCATCCTCTATAGTAAAGACAGAAGCAAAATATTTTATTTCATCCACCATTTCCTTATTATCTACTACTAACTCCCCATTCTCATTCTCTAGAGGACCAGCACTTGCTTTACTTACTGTTTTCCTTTTTAAATACCTATAGAAACTCTCACTATCCATTTTAACAATGGTAGCTAGCTTTCTGTCACATTCTAAATTCTTCCTTCTGATGAGTCATTCTCTGCAGTTCTTTATATTCTGACCAGTCATCTGACTTGCCACTCATCTTTGTGCAGTTATTTTTTTCTAAAAGTTTGGTACTTTCCCTAACTTTTTTTTAAATTAACCAAAGTCCTTCCTGTAGAATCTTTCTTTACTGTAGGCATAAACTTATTCTGAGTATTCTGAAATATCCCCTTAAATGTCTGTCACTGATTCTCTATTGATCTATCCATTAGCCTAGTATATCAGAGATAGTAGGAACTGCAGATGCTGGAGAATCTGAGATAACAAGATGTAGATCTGGATGAACACAGCTGGCCAAGCAGCATCAGAGGAGCAGGAAGGCTGACGTTTCGGGCCTAGACACTTCTTCAGAAATGGGGGAGGGGAAGGGGGTTCTGAAATAAATAGGGAGAGAGGGGGAGGCAGATAGAAGATGGATAGAGGAGAAGATAGGTGGAGAGGAGACAGACAGGTCAAAGAGGCGGGGATGGAGCCAGTAAAGGTGAGTGTAGGTGGGGAGTTAGAGAGGAGATAGGTCAGTCCAGGGAGGACGGACAGGTCAATGCCACAATGATGCCACCAGAAGGTTGCAGGAACAGCACCTCATATTCTGCTTGGGAACCCTGCAGCCCAATGGTATCAATGTGGACTTCACAAGCTTCAAAATCTCCCCTCCCCCTACCGCATCCCAAAACCAGCCCAGCTTGTCCCCGCCTCCCTAACCTGTTTCTCCTCCCACCTATTCCCTCCTCCCACCTCAAGCCCCACCCCCATCTCCTATCTACTAACCTCTTCCCACCCCCTTGACCTGTCCGTCCTCCCTGGACTGACCTATCTCCTCCCTAACTCCCCACCTACACGCACCTTTACTGGCTCCATCCCCGTCTCTTTGACCTGTCCATCTCCTCTCCACCTATCTTCTCCTCTATCCGTCTTCTATCCACCTCCCCCTCTCTCCCTATTTATTTCAGAACCCCCTTCCCCTCCCCCATTTCTGAAGAAGGGTCTAGGCCCGAAACGTCAGCCTTCCTGCTCCTCTGATGCTGCTTGGCCTGCTGTGTTCATCCAGCTCTACACCTTGTTAGCCTAGTATATCATTTCAGCTAGCTCAGCTTTCATACCTACATAGTTGCCCTTACTTAAGTTTGAAATGCTAGTCTTAGACCCAGACTTCTCCCTTTCAAACTGCATGCAAAATTCAATAATATTATGGTCACTCCTGTCTAGTGTAGAATATTGATCAATTCATCAATTAATCATGTCACATTACATTATACCAAGTCTAACATAACCTGCTTTCTTGCCAAGTTTGCTAACAATATAGCATAGAAATATGGAGTGGATGGAATGAATCTTGTGTCTCAATGAATGGGCCTAAGCCCATTTTGATCCCAATTTCGACCGAAAGCTTCATCATCATTGAGCTTCTACAATGAACTCCAAGCAGTTTGCTGAAGAAGATGACTCGCAAAGTTGGCAGCAGCCTTTGAGTGAGTTTTTAAAGAGGAGACACCACAAGGGGTAAGAAGGCAAATAGCAGTGACCATAATTTTAAAGGGTAGGTGATAGTACCATGGTCATGGTCTTTGGCATTGGGAAAGGCAGCAACAGGAATGGGGAAGGTGGATGCACAAAGCAATCAGAGTTGGGTGGGGGGGTGGTGGAATGTGGTGATTGGCAGTTGCCTGCTTTGGCGATGCTATAGTAATTGCGCTAAAAAGGTTGTAGAAAGGTTGAATGAGCTACCTTCATTTTGGATTAGGCAATTAAAAAAACCCATCCAGGATCCATACCAGAAACAGGCCTTACTTGAATGTGGAAAAACCTAATCCTGTTTCAAATGGGGGCCAAAGATAACTATTTATTTTTTGCCCAGTTATGATGTAAGATTCCAGATGTCCAACATCTGAAAATATGTTGAAAATATCCAACACTATCTCCCTATGATCTCTCTTTCTACCATTGTGTTATTAGATTGTTTGTCCAACACTGAGGCTTGAATAAGCTGCAATTTCCACTAGTTGAGCATGAGGAAGATGAGGGGCTACAAACTGGATAAGACACCAAAGCCCATGACACTTACAAGCCATCCCTTTATCTGTGAGGTGTTATCTTCATGTCCCACCATAAAATCTGTACCTGAGCTACCAGTTCCATTGTGCCGGTATCATAGTCTGATTCAGCCTGAGACAGTTCACAATTTTTGTAAGGTTTTCATTTCTGAGCAGAGTTTCAGGGCCATTATCCGCTCTTTCAAGAAGACTGTCTTTTTTCTTTCTTCTATGTTCATTTCCACCTTTTCCACAAGCAATCTACTGGTAGAGCCTTTACTTATGTCTTGTCACCTCCAGGCTCAATTATTCCATCTATCCTTTAGCCTTCACAAACTGCAGTTCCTGCAAAACCTGGGGGTTTGTGTACCAGCCTGCACTAAGTCCCATTTGTCCATGTCCTTGTTGAGTTACATTGACTCCAAATCCATAAATCTGAAATATCATTCTCATATTTAAATGATCATCTTCATATTTAAATCTCTGTAATGCCGGGTTCCTCCAGATCTCTGAAACCTACTCTTCCATCCCAAAAAGACTGCCTTCCTTTAATTCTGGCCTATTCTGCATCCACCCTCACTTCACTCTGACATTGATAGACATAAAAAGGTATCACACTCTCTAAACTAGCACCCCACATCCTTCTTTTCCTTTAAAACAACCTTTTTGACCAAATTTTTAATTGGTCCTCCTATTGTCTTCTTTGTTGTAGTGTCAATTCTTGTTAGATTACACCTCTGTGAAGTGCCTTGAGATGTTTTCTACAATAAAGGTGCTATTTAAATTGAAGGTTGTTGTGAAAGATAATGGAATACTGCAGTGAATATGATGAGCTGAGTTTTGTGAGGCCAACTGGAGTCTAATCCATCAGTCAGCGAACTGCCATTGGTTATAGGGGAGGCCCATCAGATGCCATTTATGTTGCCGCTTTTAAGCCTCACTGTAGTTGAGATTGCTGGCAGTGGAAATCCTGTCCACTGGGTTGCTAACCAGTCAGAGGTCAGCAATTGCTTGTTGCCACCAGCAGACATGTAGCAGAAGGTGCAACTAACCCACCGGAGGCCCAGGAACGACGAGGGACTCCAAACCACAGGTCGGTGAGGGAAAAATGAGGGTCAGTGGGAGAAGGGGCTCAGAGGCAGGTACGTGGGTGTCTTTCAGCACATCCCAGTCACAATTGTCTGATAATAACGGAGCCCCAGCTCACTCCTGGACTCACCGAATTGTAGTGGAATCAGGGATAATGGGATCCAGTGAACTCGCTCATTAATGAGGCCCATTCAAATACCAGCACCAAAAGCTGTGAAACCTGTGACAGTGCCATGCAATTGGGGGAGGTTCTCCCTTTGCTGGGAGACTGAAGGAGGGCCTCTCTCATGACAAAGTGAGCCCAGCCATCGTGGTTCTCATTGCAATGGGTAGCATTGAATCCAGCTGTGTATGTGAGAATTCAAAGTATTTAGAACCTTTTCACCAGCAGGAGCCTTGTGATAAACTCACTCTCCTGTTATCAATCAGTTTATTCAGATTCCATTTACGATTGGTTTCTTTAAATTCTGTTTCTGTTCTGAAATCCAAGCCACACCCTGAACTGTAAATGATTTCATGGCATGTATAACAGACTAGTCGGATGTTTGAAATCCATCCAAATTTTTGAGAAATCTCTAACAGTAATAAACCGACGTAAATTAAATACATTAGTTCATTGAAACACACTTGATCCTAATAACTGAAAGGGAACAAAGTTCTCACAGTGGTTTGGATGGAAAAGTAAATCACCCACTATAGACTACTGGGATAAATGTAGTGTCACAACATCTATGAATCCGAGATATCTGTACAGTTAGGGACGTGCTGCTGCTTTACTAAAGGATTTGAAATATCTTTGGCAGCTTGCCACACTCCCTTTCTATTTTTAAATGTTGGAAGGATAACTATCCCAAGCCTGACATCTTAAAATCATCATAGATTTCAAAGGCATTCAGAGGTCAGTGGGCAGAGCTCCATCTACAACCTTGAGTAATTATGCACAGACATCCGTTTACTGAATAGGATGAGAAACAGTGGTGTGACCATGGCTATATAAATTTGTGCTACTTCTGTGGATGTCTGATTTTGCTGTCCAAAATGCATAGAGGTGGAAGTTTATGATGAATGTGGCTAATGAGAGTATCTTTTGATCACTCTTCCAGAATGACGTTTGTGCCAATTGCTTACTATTTTTGAGAATAATATATTCTTTTTCTACCCACACCCCCAGTACCATTTCACACTGAGTCTGGGAAAGTGTCTTGACTGAATTCCAATTTCACAGCAGCTGGCAATACCCTGTCCCCAGTATTTGTTCTGCACATGTGAACCTAAACAGTGTTTCTCAAGAGACTCTTCTCATATGAGGACATCCCTGCAAAACCTAATCCTGTCCTCACCAAACATACATTCAGAGTTCCCAACAGGGATCAAGTCCTGGAGTTTTTTCCAAGAACAGACTAAACTTTGAACCTGGGAGTTTGGTAGCTGGGATTTAATGAAATGGTGAATACACTTGACAAATCACATAATGTATTTTTAAAGAGGCACCATCTAAAGATAGCAACTATAGAGTGCAGCTTATCATATTCCTTCCACTGGAGACCTGTATCATCATGTTCAGCTGATCACATTACAGTACTCTGAAAATCCACTTGAATTTAAATTGTTTTCTTAATTCATTTATTGTTGAGACACTTTAACAATAGTACATTTGCTGATGCTGATCCAGCATAGTCCTACTAGTAACTTTCATATACTTCAAATTATATGAGCATTTCCAAAAAAGGAAATAATATTCCATTCTATAATATGCAACTTGCTCAACAGCTGATACTAGAGAATGTTTCTCCAGTTGCCTTCCTCTGCCAAAATAAATTCTATCAATGGTTTCACGGTGGATGACCATTTGAAAACTTGAAGAACTGTTTGCACTGTATAATATTTTTTGCACCGTGAAAGCGTAACACTTTTCTGACAAATTAAATGTACATTTATCATATATGAGCATTAGGATGTAGTTATTGCAAGTTTCTGGTTTCCAGGAAGTGAAATGAATTAATTATAAATCAATAATGGCCATTTTTGGGGTACAAAAGGACATAAATGCCATAAAACAGGATAAATGCCAGGTATTACATTTTGGTACAACAAACAAGGGTATGACTTATACAATTAATGGTAGGGCCTTAGGTAGTGTTGAGGGACCTAGGGATTCAGGTATATAATTCTTTGGAGTTTGCGTGACATGTAGACAGGGTGGTTAAAAAGGTGTTTAGCACACTTGCCTTCGTTGTTTAGTCCTTTGAGTATAGAAGTTGGGAAGTCATGTTGAGGGTTGTACAGGACATGTGAGGCCACTTCTGTATACTGTGTCCAGCTCTGGTCACCCAGTTGTAGGAAGGATATTGTTAAGCTGGAGAGGGTACAGAATAAATTTACCAGGATGTTGCTGGGTATGGAAGGTTTGATTGATAAAGAAAGGCTGGAAAGGCTGGGACTTTTTTCACTGGAGCATAGGAGGTTAAGAGGTGACCTGATAGAAGTTTATAAAATAATGAGGAGTGTAGATAGAGTTAATGGTCATTGTCTATTCCCAAGGATGGGGGATTTCAAGACTAGGGTGTACATTTTTAAGGTGAGAGGAAAGAGATTTAAAAAAGTCATGAGGGGCAAATTTTTCACACTTCCTGAGGTAGATGTGGGTACAGTTACAATGTTTAAAAGACATTTGGATAAGCACATGAATAGGAAAAGTTTAGAGGGATATGGGCTAGGAGCAGGAGGATGGGAGTAATTTAGTTTGGAATTACGTTTGGCATGGACTGGCCAAATTTGTGGAGAGAAAGCAGAGTGAACATTTCGGGTCCAGTGACCCTTCCACAGAATAGTCCTTAAAAATGATGGGCAAGACCTTGATTCCAGGATTCTGTACCCTATTCCAGTTCTCTGCAATTTTCTTCCGGGCAAGAGATAAAGGTGTGGGTATTGAGCATGCACATAGCACTCCTGCCTTTGCAGACTACATTGTGAGGGTAGGTATTTCAGAGCTCCAGCATGTTTGATGGAGTTGGGCCTGATCTGTTCATTGATGTGATAAATGGCACCTCAAAGGAGTCATTAAACATGGGGAAACCCTGGTTCTGAATTGAGGACAATGAAAAGAAACTGCCATTCACCATTTCCTCAAATTACATTGTTTCTCTTAACTTTCCAGAAAGCTGGCAATTCTGGCCCCAGCCACTGCCCAGAATGAAAATATGGCAGGCAGGGGCCTTCTCGATGGAAATGTGTCTGCAGAATTGGGAACTTACCCACTTCCTTATCTGCATTTCCTTCGCCCCATGGTCATAGAATCATACAATTCGGCCCATCAAATCTGTGCCACCAAAAAAATATTACAACCTACACTGGTCTCACTTTTGCTCACTAGGCCCATAGCGTTGAATGTTACAATATTTAAAGTGCTCTGGCACATACCTTTTAAAGGTTGTAAGATTTTCCACCTCCAGTGCATTCCCTTTGGGTGAAAAAATATTTTCCTCAAATCCCCTCTAAACTTCCCATCCTTCACTGTAAAATGATGCCCCCTTGTTATTGACCTATCGACTAAGGGGAACAGTTGCTTACTATTACCCCTGTCCATGGCCCTCATAATCTTATACACCTTAATCAGGTCCCCCCTCAACCTATTCTGCTGTAAAGTAAACAACCCGAGCTTATCCAGCCTCTCTTCATATCAGATTCTTTTCTTTAGAACTTTGGGTCGAGACAAATTGAGACAGTATTTTAATGCATTGATTCTGTCTCCCTGTTGCTTTGTTCTTGCAGATGGGGAGATTCCAATTGTGCTTCAGCCTACAAATGCAAATGAGAAAACTCAGCTCATTGGCGATGGTCGACGTAGCTACAACACAGATGGGTAGAATTTAAGAGAGCAACAAGCTGTGCTGAAATTCTAGGCAACTGTTACAATGTGGACATGCCATGCAGTGTGGTTGTATTTTCTATTTGGTAAATGACATTATCAACTACTGGTCTTGATATTACACAAACAACCACTATCAATAGTTACCACTGCGGTGAAAGCAGTTTGAAAACCCACCTTCAAGCAAAGTCCTAAATTGCTCTAAAAACTTCTAAATTATATATTTTTTTCTCACTTTACTTTATAACGTTATTTGGAATCAAACACTCCATTATTTGAAAAACTTTTGCTGACTGTCTTTAATATATTTTCTCTGTCAAATATTTATCATATTTTGTAAACCACATAACCAGATTGCGCCTTTTTGGATAAGCAGATGTATTTTATTCAATGAACTCCAAATAACGTGAGGCTGGAGATGAAAACTAACTCTCATTTCCACTTTACTAGCTAGTCATTGCCTCAACAATAAAAAAGTTAAAAATAATGTTTTTACTACAAAATATTGCAGTAATTCTGATACTTGCTCTTGAATTGTTTGTGGTTGGAACATTGTCATTGCACCTCTGAAAGTAATAGACTCACTGACCTTGTTACTGCTGTAACAATGTCTGCATGTCTGCAAGAAGTAAGGCCAGCACTTTTATTATTTATAGCTTAGAAACTCTTTGTGGAGTACAAGTGAACTGTGCTAGAAATTTTAGCAAGGTGCCTTAGGTCAAAAAATCATTAAAAGGACTTGAATAGATACTGTATAGGAATTATTTAATATGGAGTAGAGAATGTAATATATTTCAAACCTGTCTGAATAATAACTTCAGATTAGTCATCTCCATTTTAGCTTCCTGATTGCTGGGTATGCTTTTGTAACTTTAATAAGATATGCATTTCTCATTAAATAAATTTCTATTTTAGTGAACAATAGGATTAGAGAAATCTACAAAACCATAGCAAGTTGAATTCCCTGCCCTCTTGGAAGTAAAAATATAATTTTGTTAGTTTATTGTCGTACTAACATCTTACTAACAGCAAAAACAAATGCATCTGCTTTCCACTTGCTCATGGAGCAGATGTAGATATGTATTAAAATTGTATTGGATTGTCATGCAATCCTGAATGTTGTTCCTTACATCCACTGACATCAAAAGCACATATCCAGCTTGCACTGTAGGGTTTTTTACAAACCACCTTGAGCACAAAGTTGTAAAAGAACCCCTTTTGTATAAAGTTTCCCAGCCTATGAAATTTTTCATTTTGTACCCTACAATGAGGGTGTGATTCCAAATAAATTATGTCACAATTCTACATAAAAGTTTACAATTTTCATATGCCCCAATCAGCAGAAAACCTTGATGCCCACCAACGCATACTAAACTTGTACTAGGGGGTGCGACTCCCCACTTCAAGCATTCAGATAATCCAGCCTATTTTTGTCACCAGACACAGAACAGAGTAACCATATGCATGTGTATCTCTCTACATGTAACATTTTGGATTGATGGACAATTTAATTAATTCCTATTTAAACAAAAAGACAAACAAATATTATAAATTAGATCTTCTACTTTTGAGTAGTAGAGGTTACTAAATAGCAACATGACTTTTCTTTTTGGAAATAAATTACATTAAGTTTTTCTTGAGGCAACTACGCAATCTTAATGTATATTTAACTTTAGAAGATGATCTGCTTAAAAATAAGTGGTTTCGAAATTATCAGTTGATTTATTTACTTTTCTCTTGTAAGTTGTTGTAGTTAATGCATTAAGATATAATAGCCATCTGTGTGTGATGCGATTTATATTTTGCACAAACATTTTATTTGTAAAGACAAAAACCTTGCATGGTTAACTTTCCTTTGTTAAATCCTCTGTGAGAATATTGTTTGCACGCTGCATTTAAATCAGCTGTGAAGAAAGTGTAATTTTAAGGTTTGATTGTTCCGATATCAGCCCAGTTCATATTTCAGGTAGTTTCAGGTGTTCTTTGTTGTAAGTTACCACCTTTGGCCACTGTACTTGCCTGGAACAAATATATATGGTATTCAGATGATGTAGTTTCTACTTACTTCCTTAAATGTACTGAAGTGAAACTCTTGAATGTATATGCAAGCTGACATCCTATTCTTGAACATTTCCTTGGCATAATTTCAAGGTTCCAGTGATCGGGAACTATTGTATTTGATACAGGTGAATATCACCTTCATTTTTGCAGGCCTCCTAAGATTCACCAACTTGACTGTGACCAGATACAAAGTGCCCTACGATTACTTGTCACTTTTGAGGCAGTGTTACGTGTCTATTTAATTTCTTTACTGTTTACCCATTACAATGTGTAGGTGGTGTGAATGAAAAATAAAAGGGGATATAAGAAACCAACCGAATTTTCTGACATGTAAACTGCAATGTACAGTACTTTGAAACACGCACGCTACGTGCTGAACGTTTGTTAGTGGCATTTAGTGTGTTGTTACCATTCTCTCCACCTCTAGCTGTGAAACCAAAATAGTAACAATGTTAAAAAGTACATTCTTTAAGAACAATCTAAATTCTGTCTGTTCCATTTAACACCTTAGGATGATAAAAGAAGTATCAACATTCCTTCTACCTGTT